AATGAACGCGGTTTTTTTGGAAACGAACGCTCGGGCAATACTTTTACTTTAGTTTTGATGCATAAAAACGCATATCGTCACGGGATTGTCTGTGTGTGTGTGCCCCACATTTTGCCCCACACTTTGAACTCAGGAACCACAGAAGCTAAGCAGCTGAAATTTTAGTATACTGTTCCCCGCCAACGGGTGACGCGGCAAATTTAAATTCAGCCTTCCCGTACCCGCGGGTAACACGTACGGGCCCGCAAAATTTTCGACGGGTAAAATTATTATCACGGGAACTACGTAAGCTAGAAGGCTAAAATTTTGTGGGTATCCCCTCCGTCCATATGCTACCCAGAAAATTTAAACTGAGCTTTCCCCTGCCCGCGGGTAACATGTGCGGTCCCGTGAAAATTTTTGACAGGTAAATTATTGTCTGGGGAACCATGTAGTCTAGGAAGTTGAAATTTTAGAATAATGACCCCTTGCCCATGCTCAACCTTGCCTATTCAAATGCAGCGTTCCCGCGCTCTCAGGTATCACCTACGGACAAGTGAAATTTTCTACAGGTAAACTATTATCTCGGGAACCACAAAGTCTATAAAGCTGAAATTTTAGGGTAATGTCCCACTGCTCCGTGCTTAACTTTGCCTATTCAGCGTTCCCGCATTCTCGATTATCACCTACGGCCTCCTGAAAATTTTAGCGGGTAAATTATTAACTCGGAAATCAGGGAAAGTATTGATCCTTCAAGGTTTCAAATTCAGCTTTCCTGCACAGGTGCGTGAAATTTTTAACAATTTTTCAATGTTTCGACTATTTTTACATAGAGTAAAACACAAATCAGCGAAAAGCAGTAATAGGGAATCGTTCGATGGGCTGAATCGCACAAAACGCATGATCGTACCGGCTAGTCTGGTGCGCGTTGTTATTTATCATAATTCTTTTGCAATTCCTGTTATTATGGTTTTAATGTGAGCAAAATTGTTAGAGTGTAATCGACCGTATGTTACGGAATGCGAACACGTCTTTCATGCTTGGTACAACAAGTTGGCGCGAGCAGTTCGTTGACGCCCTGACTGTACATGCTGGTTCGTTCTACATTCAATTTCCCTAGAATTTGCAGCTTTCAATTTTTCAACTGATATTGACTCATTTTACCAACTTATTTCGTCCGTTCATTTTTTAGCACATACTTTTTGTGCAGGCAATTCTGGTGTATATCATAAAATTTTAAGCGAGTTCTCTAACGAGCTCGTTGCTCTGCAGTGGAAAATTTTGGGGCGCAAAATGCATACCAAAGTGCGTCAAAGATTTGGCGTTGCTACATTTCTTGTCCTAATCTATTGATATGAAGAGTACAAGTGCAAGAACGTGCAAGACTTGGTTATACTTCTTGGTGATTTTTTGACCAACTGCATACGAAAAGTCTCGGAGTTTCGTATTCATGTCTTGTTCAACTGTGCACTTATAGTTCGTTCCTTTTTTGAAGGAGGACCATAAGTCAGAAAGTAATAGGATCTGAAAGCCGATTTCGAACCATTTAACCAGCATTTCATGGTGAACCAGATCCCACAATTTCGGATTCGTGGCTTGCCTCCTGTAAACTCGAAAGTTCTAAAAATAACTCGATTTTTTTTTATCTAAGGTCGTAAATGAGGGTTTTTGTCGTTCGAGAACTAGTGTCAGTTTATACATATTCATCCCTGAGCAAATTTAAGACTCAAATTTTGAACTGTAGCTTGCAGAAGCAGCTCTAATTACAATTTGAAATCATAGATCTTGGCAATTAAAAATTCAAAACTTTATTTTAGGTTTTTGGCGCAATGGCTGAGAGCAACTTTGCCAAAATTTCTGTTTCCTGGCCTATGTAGTTCTTGAGTTGAAATAGCCAGGCAGTTAAATACGAAGAAACATGAACATACATAAACAGGCATGGCGCGCCGTATCATATGTTTAAATTACGCTTAAACTCATCAAGAGGAGCACAATACCAGTTGAGTTGGTGCGCCTTGTCTGGAACCACTTTTGATTTTCCAGATACGAAAGATTACCGTCTTGTGGTGCATTAGTACCAATGCGTGCTTTATGTCAGCTGAATCTAGTAAAGCAATTCGGCACCCTCTTACACAGCCGAATGGCTCTCCCTAGTTGACATGACGTGCACCAAATAAATTAGAGTTGTCCGGCTAAATTTTTTCAACTTTGCCACATTACTTTTAACACTTGTTAATCCCAAGCATTTGTCGCTGTTTTTCCTTCACAACGGTTGCCTGGAAGGCATAAACCTCATGCGTTGCCCTTTTGCATCTGGGGCAGTCCTTAGTCAATGCCTGTGAAAGATCGACTGGCCGGGCTGCACATCCATTCTTTACTCATACATTTGTGATTCTTGGAATGCTGAAGTTAATTATTTCTAGGTGATGAAGAAAGTACTGATGCTGAGGATGGCGAAGAGCGAGATTCGAAGTTGGAAACCTCTGAAACAGAGCTGCCAAAACCAACATGCTGCGATTACTTTATGCATTTCCTCTCAGTGCCATGGAAATTATTATTTGCTGCAATTCCTCCAACTGGTGAGCTCCAATTATGCACTTTTTATTGCGAAAACAAACTTTTCGCACTGGACTGATGGCGTGTTATGGACAATGTAAGCTATGTTCTCTGAATAACGAACTGAAATCACTGATGACCCTAAATTTCGAATGAAGATTTTATGGTTCAGTGATAAGAAGTATATGGAAGAAACCTGAATAAAACTAGTTAAAGTGTTGCAGTGAAACAGAATGACTTGCATTCCACAAACTATGGTTCTAAAACGGTATTAGGATTCAGTGCTGAAGGGGATTCAGCCCGCCAGCTCCTTTCAAAAATTATGTAAATGAATGCAGAAATGATGAGTTTAGCTCTATATTGGTGTCTAAACTCAAGTAGCAATGCACCAGGTTCACCGAAGCGATCTCGCGTTTTTGCGCTGAACTTGAGGCACTCACATCATTAACAGTACGAATGACTGCTGGACTTGTTGGGTGTGCTTTATCCCTTTCTTGCAAGCAAGGGGGAAAGGGCGTTGGCTGCGATGGCAGCATTCAGGGCCGCGTGGAATCTTTTCTCCAGCATGTATGATCACCATAGATTTTGCTAGTGACTGATCGCTTACTGAAAAATGCAAACGGAACAGCTAACAGGACGTCGAGAGCGAAGGGTGAAAAAATGCGCAAATGCACTTGCATTTGGTTGCGATAAAATTGCGCATTTATCATGCTTGTCATGCTCGTATGCAGGGAATAGCCTCAAGCTGAATCAAAAGTATATCCTTGCAAGGTTTCAGCTTTGCAGCTTGTCCAGTAAGCAAGTATAATGTTTGGCGTGCTCTAAGACTTGGCGCAGGTGCAGAACGAAGCTTGATTTAGGTATACAGTTTTGCGGATGGGCAATAAATATTCTGACAAAATTACAGCTACTGTTTTTTGGCTAGCTTCCGAGTTTGCGCTACATCAACTTGCGAAATTTGGCGTAAAGTCGCTGAACGCATATCGCAAGCGTGTGCGGTAGCTGAACCTCAAACAGTTATCTAATGCATATCTTTACAAAGTTCAGTGGTTCCCAAGATTGTTTTTCTGTCAGAAATTTCTATATTTCTTTAGGGCTTTCGTACATGTGGTCTAAACGAGAATGAGCGATGGTTTTAAAGTGGGAGGGTGAGACATGAGTTTGGAATATACTCCCAAAAATTTCAGCCTTTCAGCTTCCCTCATTGTTGAGATGAAAGGGAGTGACAAACTCGCTTTTCACAGACACACGAACAACCTATCGGTAACATGCGTTTTTGGACTACGTAAGATGCAAAAGTGCGTAATGCGCATAATACATTGGGCGTAACAACAGGGCCGTTCTAGGCAGAGGGCCGAAAATATTACGGTATGGCTGGAGATGGACATACCGCCCAACCAAAATATGAGTTGCAGCGAATGTGTTCCGTAATTTTCCGACTTGCACGGGGTTGAGCTGTTGAAGGCGTGACTTCACTCTGCTGATATCTTGCTTAAATGATTGCTTGCGGTAGTCGCAGTCTGTGGCATACTTTCCGAGGTATTACATGATGAGGGTTTTCTCGAAAATTTCAGATTATTGGGGCGGTTGGGCCTGTTTTGTGGTTTCGATTGTTTCGATCGGGGTGCTCACTGCAGTCATCGGTGATTTAGCCTCTCATTTTGGGTGCTGGATTGGATTAAAAGATGCTGTTACGGCTATATCTTTTGTTGCGCTAGGTACCTCCGTGCCAGGTTCGTAATTTCGTTTTGCTAACCAGAATACCTTTACCTTCTGTCTTCTCTACTTTTCCGAAGTCGGTCAAATTTTCAGGCGAGCTAATTTGTTCGTTTCAATGATGTTTTCTTGTTTAAACAGAATGTTTCATAACATGGAGAAATTGAAGATCTTGAAGATCGACAAAAAAGTTGGAACCACCAAAAATGAAAAGTGCTGCATGAATTCCGACAAACATTGCAGTTTTGGAATCTCCAAAACCCAGAGTTCTATGCCCTGTGGTGTGAAATTTAAAAACAGAGATAATGCTGTCGATATCGTTATGTCCTGTGACTGATACGTTTGCATTCAGATACGTTTGCATCGAAGGTAGCAGCAATACAAGACAAATACGCGGATTCCTCGATTGGTAATGTTACCGGCTCCAATGGCGTTAATGTGTTTCTAGGAATAGGTCCGTCATGATCTTTTTTGAAAATTATCGCAGTTGTTTAATGCTTTTCACGCATTCTCTTAATGCATCATCCCAGCTCTTCCCCTGCCCTAAGTTTTTGTGGCCCAAACCAGCATCACACCGCATCTCTTTTCCACGTTGACCTACGTCACCCAGCATTCGGGAAAACGTTACAGCCACGAATCAGCGATTTTCATCACTCACCTGCAGCAAACTGCAACAGAGCAGAAACGCATAATGTCAAGGGTTGCCTGTAGGCAATTATTAGGAATTGCTTCGGCTCGGCTCTGCCTTGATTGGGGCAGGAAAATCACCAGTTCGTGGCTGTAACGTTCCCTTGAGGGCTGGGTGACATAGGTTTGGGAGATATTGGGTAGAAAAGAGATGTGGTGCTGGTTTGGGACACAGAGACTCAGGTCTGGGAAAGAGCTGGGTTGACAGCTGGTTGGAGAGTGCAGGTATTAGGTTGTTCGGAAAGTAATGTCCGTTTTTGACTAAAATTTTTAAAGTGACATATCTCAGCAATGAATAAAGTTTCTTAATTGAAATAAGAACCATTAGAATCAACGCATTTTTGCCAACACTGCTTGTTTATTCCGGTTGCATAAAAATCTGGGCTTCTGGAGGCAATGAATTCATCGAAGGCAGCTTCGGCATCGACTTGGTTTCTAAAGCATTTCCCGCACAGAAAGTTGTCGAGATGCTTGAAGAAGTGAAAGTCCGTAGGAGAAAGGTCTGGCGAGTATGGTGGATGAGGCAGAGTTTCGTAGTCCAGCTCGTTCAACAGCTGCACCGTCCCAAGTGCGACGTGTGGTCGCGCGTTGTCATGCAGCAGGATTGGTCCCTTTCTGTTGGACAGTGCAGGGCGCAGCCGTTGAAGTTTTTGGTGCATTTCATTTATTTGCTGAACGTACGTCTGCGCCGTAATCGTTTCACCCGGACTCAGGAAGCTGTGATGGATTGAACCAGCAGCAGACCACCAGACTGTCGGCATGACCTTCTTTTGATGAAGTTCCGGCTTTGAGAAGTGCTTCGGGGCTTCATCGCGATCCAACCACTGAGCCGACCGTCGTCGATTATCATACAGGACCCACTTCTCGTCACACGTCACAATATGGTCGAGAAACGGGTCGTTCTGATTGCGCAGAATAAGCGTCGACGACACCTCAAAACGACACTTTC